AAGAAGAAGAAGAAGAAGAAGAAGAAGAAGAAGAAGAAGAAGAAGAAAGCCATGACATACTTAGGGAGTGTATCCAATTTTAGAAAATGCAAATGATTTTAAGGAATTGCATCTGGTTTTAAGACATGCATTTGATTTTAAAAATGTATCTGATTTTAAGAAATGCACCTGATTTTTAAGACATGGATCCGATTTTAATAAATGCATCCAATTTTAACGTATCCGATTTTAATAAATGCATCCAATTTTAATGTATCCGATTTTAATAAATGCATCCAATTTTTTAATGTATCCGATTTTAAGAAATGCCTTTGATTTTAAGAAATGTATGATTTTAAAAAGACATCCGATTTTAAGAAAGGCATTTGATTTTAAGAAATTGAGTGATTTTAAGAAATGCACCTGATTTTTAAGACATGGATCCAATTTTAAGTAATTGCATCCGATTTTAAGAACCGCGTCCGATTTTGAAGGCACGCAAGCCGTTTTCAGAAACCGCAGCCTTATTTTCCGAAGGGCCTACGTGGCCCAAATCAACCCAACCTCCTCTCCAGATAAACCAGAAAAATTACAGCTGCAGTTTCTCCCCCCCACCCGCCAAAAAAATCCCCCTTCCACCTGGGTGATGAGCTGACCCCGCTTGGAATCCGCCAAGCCCGTAATTAACCTTCTATCAGAAACAGGAAACTGTTCATCAGTTCATCATATCTCTGATGAGCTTCTGTCACCTGTCTGTCATGTCCCGGTGCCGTCGCCCGGGTTTTGCTTTCGGATCTAAACAAAAAAAAAAAAAACAGGGGGGGGGGGGATGACTCAGAGATGCTGGCAGAAACCTGAGAGAGGAATGAGGAATGACAGATTGCAAAGCCCGCCGGCAAAAATAGCATTTCAAACTTGGAAAGTTGGGGTGCCCTCTTTTTTTTTTTCCTTCCCTTCACTTGTCGTTTCGAGGTTTGACTGGGCTGACCCAGGAAGCGGCGGGCGAAACCCTATCGCTGTGACTCAGGCGGCCTTATTCAGGCACACGAGGGTTTTGTTTTTGGGGTGCCCGGTGCTAATCTGCTTATCGGGGTGACCTCAACGATGAGATCCTGGGGAAAAAAACGCCTCGGGGAGATCAGATCATCCACCGGAGATGACCTCAGTTAAAACCCAGGGGATCCTCGAGTTACAACCGCCAGCATTTCCACTGTAAGCAAAGCAGTGGCTGAAGAAGTGAGGGGCGGCTGATGTTGTGGGTTCCCCCACCCTCTCCCATGGTTGTTAAGTGAATCAGGGCAGTGGTTAAGTCACGAAGCAAAGCTGGCTTCTCTTAAGGTTCTCGGGAGTTTGCTGCGAACAGCTCCCACCTTGACTGAGGACCACAATGGCCGTTCAAGGGAGTCGGGCTCGGGCGTACGGCTTTTGTGGGACTGGTCCTCACCCTTACGACGGTTGCAGAACAGACCAGCGGGAGTCACGACCAACGCCCAGCCCGATATCCCTGTTGCTAAGCGAAACACTGGATCAGCAAAACATGCCCTGATTTTACGACCGTTCTCTCTATCGTTAAGTGAATCACTGCAGCGGTCCTGAATGACACCCGTCCTTAAGTGAATCTGGATTCCTCATTGATTTGGCTTGTCAGGAGGTTGCCAAAGGAGATCATCTGATGACTCTCGGGCACGCAGCGACCGTCGTAAATAGGAATCGGTTGCCAAATGTCCAAAGTTTGACCCCGTAACCACAACAATCGTGCGTGCGAAAAACAATCCAAAGTCCCTTTGTTCCCCCAGGGCCGCCATAACTTCAAACAGTCACTAAATGAACCATTGTAAGTTTCTATTGTTATTTTCCCACCTCTTCTGCCTGCTAGGCTGGTTTTCTGCCCCTTTTTGGCTTGTTTCTTTTAAAAAATAAAAAATAAATGAAATGCAATTCACCTCTTCTCCCCCCCCCCCCCCACCTTACTGATGTCACCTTGGCAGCTCATTCCTGGCTGACAAAAAGGAAATGCTTCTCAAATGAGGGGCGGCAATTAACCTGGGAAACTCCTCTCCACAGGATGTTCGCGCCGCCGAGGCCGAGCACCGAAGGCAAACGAGTGGGACGCATGCCCGAGCCGGGGAGGGTCACCCTTCCCTCCCCAGGAACGATAACAAATGATTTCGGGAGGTTTGGAATGCCAAGGAACCGGATCCCCAGACCGCGATCCGCAGCTGCTTCGCATTCTTTCGGGGCCGTCACCCGCTTGGCAGCCGGTTTTTGCAGATTGCAATCTGTGGCACCTTACCTCATCGCGCAAACCTTCGGGGTGGCTCACGGATTCCTGAAAGAGGATCAGGATGCCGATCGCCCCCACACCTCAGGCTTCCGGTCGGCGGTGGGATTTTTCTGAATCCAAGGGGGTGAGTTTTTGTTGAGGGGGGGTTGGGGTTGGTTTTGGGGGGGTTTGACATCCTTGCTCGGTCTTACGACGGGCGGCCTCTCCGGACGTTATCTGGGAAGGGATTTGAAAGAGGTGGGTGGGAAGGTGGAGGGGGCTTATTTCTCGGGGGAGGGGACCACTACAGGTAATGCTCAAGTTACGGCCACAATGGAGCAAAAAACATATGTTGCTAAGTGAGACATTTAATAAGAGAGGATCCGCTACAGGTTGTGTTCAAGTTACGGCCACAATGGAGCAGAAAATATATGTTGCTAAGTGAGACATTTAATAAGAGAGGATCCACTACAGGTTGTGTTCAAGTTACGGCCACAATGGAGCAGAAAACATATGTTGCTAAGTGAGACATTTAATAAGAGAGGATCCACTACAGGTTGTGTTCAAGTTACGGCCACAATGGAGCAGAAAACATATGTTGCTAAGTGAGACATTTGTTAAGGAAGGGTCCACTACAGGTTGTGTTCAAGTTACGGCCACAATGGAGCCCCAAACCTATGTTGCTAAATGAGACATTTTATCTCCCTTGTCTGCTCAGAAAGAGATCAGAAGTCAAACTTGGTGTGACAAATTCACCCCCACACACACACCAACACCATGACGGTGACACAGGTGGCCAGGAGCCACGCCTCGCTCTGCCCGTAAAATGTATTTTCTGCACAAACCACCCAAAATCCCTCGGATTAAAACACCAGAAACTTCCCCGTCAGCCACCCAGAGAGAATGAGACACCTGTCCCATCAGGACTGAAGGTATGAATTGTTTACCAAAGCGAAATAAA